ACGGGACATGGGACGGCTATCGTGTGGAATGACTCTAAGAGATATGTTATATTTGGGAAAAAAACATGTAGTTGAGTTAACGAAGTCAACCTTTTCTAAGCTGTGTTATTTTAGCAAGGGTCCACACAAGGATTTTATACAAGTATAAAATCCTTGGGGTCCACATGCACATGTGTCCACGGATATCCGTATCCGGATATCACGTGGTTAGGTTAGGTTAGGTGCGATTGGTATCCGGATATCACGTGGTTACAACAGATCCGTTATTTTTTTTATTTGAAAGCTGAAACAAGTAAATGGTTGGATGAAAAAATAACTATTTAAAATTGAATTTTATCTTTGTATCAGACATTCATGCCGATCCAGACATTCTATCCGTCATCTGTGTTAAGTATTTTCGGAAGAATGTAACAGTCTATGGTGTTTAGTACTGTTCCCGATTACAGATTTTTCTCTGTTCTGTGTTCTGTAGTACTGTTTAGTCACAGAAGAGGTGTTTTATCTTCTGTGGTTTAGTGTTGTAAAATAACAAATAACTTACAAATTGTAAATTTTGTGTTGGCGCGATTCTGAGAATAGGTTAGATCTGTTTATTTTCTGCACATTTACATCCATAAAAGTGAGACAAGAGAAAAGATTTCTAGTAACGGAAAAATCATTAAAAAAATATATTTTGGCTTCGACTAAATATTATTCAAATGGAGAGTTTTGAGGAACAACATTGTAGGTTATGCCTCTCTGCTGTAAGAAATGGGAAATTTGAAGAGATAAAAGGCGCCAAAAAGGATATTTTAGACGTTATTCTACTGAAATTGGTAGGTTTATTAAGTTGCATCCTTTCCTAATAATAATATTTGTACTCTACAATATTAATTAAACTTTCAGAATTTCGACGAACACGTAATGTGTAATGTTTGTTCAGTGAAGGTAATGAAAGCATTCAAATTTAAGGCAATGTGTATCTATACTGATAGCACCCTAATTTCATATGCTGAAGATGAAATGGAATGTTTAGTTGATTTAAGAGAGATTTACCCAAAGGAAAAAGGAAACACGCAATTAACAGACAAATTGAACGATCATAAAATATGTCGTTTATGTATGCAACTAATACAGGGTGATTTTATGTTGGCACATGAAGTGGAAGCTGATATGCTTAAGAAATATATTCCAGAAATAGTAAGTACACGTTGATATACATACAAAAGCATGTCATATCTTTTGTGAAGTATCTGACGGAAATATTGCATAAAACTTCACTTTCAGATAACTTGTTAACAAAAAAGGATTTTTTGATTCAGTAAAAACTTTCAAAAGTGATTTTTCTACATTATTAAATTTTCAGCAAATTACGCTAATTACGCTTTATAAAGAAATTTTGAAAGTTCTATAGCCTTTGAGATATTGCTTGATAAAGGTATCGATAGTTAAGAAGGTTCGGATGCTATGAAAAATTGCAGCGAAGTTTGTATTATTAAGATATTATTTTTATTATTCTTGAATTATTTATCGATTTGTTTTTGTTTTTAATTAATTCCAAAAATTTGAATATTTAACAAAGATTCTTACGGGAAATGCTATGATGCATAGCCTTACAATCAAATTACGGGTGAAAAAAATGCAAATGAAGAGATGAAAAAAATATAGACATTTACCTGAATCTTTAATTAATTAAATTAAACATTAAAAATTCTGACGTATAAAATAAAAAATTGGTATATTTTTCTTTAACGGTGTAATTAATGATCTTTAAATATTTGAATAATAATGCTATTTTGATATTTTATAATTCTAATTATATCTAAGAGAACTCCCAATCTGTATTTTTTCGGTCAGAAGCTTGTGTATTCATGTTTAAGAGAACTATTTTCTAGAACTTCGATGTTGTCAAAGATCCCGTTGTTTGCAAACAGTGTTTTGATTTCTTGGGCGTCCACAGTGGTTTCATAAGAAAGTGTTTAGAAGTAGAGGAAAAACTAATAACACAGAAACCATCGACAATAAGTGTGAGGAACAGTCATTAGATTCCGGCATAAAAACTGAAGAGATTAGCATAAAGTCTGTAGAAAGTGACGAGGATGAAGATTTGGCTGAAAGTGTAGAAGGGAAATCTGAAGAAGAGATCGAAACTGGATGTGCCAAAACAAACTTGGGAGGTACAGAAGAAGAGAGGTACGTCATTCAAATTGTAGAGATAATAGTTACTTAACCGTTTCACTGCGGGAAGCAGATATCTATAAGCAAATTGAAAGCGTGCTCCTGGCACGGATGATGCGTGTTTATGTAAGCCAGGAGATGATTTGTATCAGCTCAACTTCAATGAGAATTAAGCAAAAGCTATAAAATCTGGTGTCAAGTAAATGTTTGGACGGAAAAGTTTGCTTATGATTTAATAATTCGTAACGTTTCATCTGGTCTTTATAACAGTGTGAATTTTCTTTGGCATAGTGTCGACTAAGGACCTACGGATCTCCCAAGTTTCCTGGATTTTACTTTTGAGATCAGGAATTGTCTTTTGCGGTCTGGGCTGCTGGACGGCCGGTTTATGTCATTGTCATCAAACCAGTTTTATTGTTACGTTTGGTCGTATGACAGGATGTATTTGCCTTCTGGAAATTTTACTGTACGTTTTAAGCTCTCCTTGTGATAGGCCTCTTCAGTGATCCATATTATCATCCACAACACAGGTTTGAAACTAGGATTCATCACTGAAAATTAACTTGAGCCAAGTAGCTTTGGATTTAGCCCAAGCTAAATGCTTCTTCTTTTGAAGTTCCGTTAACAACAGTTTTTCTTTAACGTTAATGAAATCAAAATCTTTATTTACCTTTCGACATTAATAATTATTGCCTCTTCGATACATTGTCCATTTCTTGGTTCACACCATAGTAATTTTCTCACAGTAGCCTTTGGCATGTACAGATGTTAACAAAAGGCGTTTGTGCCTTGTTTATCACTTTTGGCAATTGACCAAAATTCTTTCCATGAACGTCTATGCTATCAGTTTCTTGATTTTGCCATATTCACTTCGATAGCAATTTTTTTCATTGATTTACCTCGCTCGTATTGATGAATTATATTTCACACACATATTTTTTGGATGTTGCTAAACCACATGTCATAGTTTTGAGCACTATTCTTGCAAAAACGTCACAAACACTGACAGACGCATGAATTATAACAATGGACATTTTATATTTTCAATGCCTACTAGGTTTTTACGGCAAAAAGTGTTGCACTCAAACATTTAGTTGTCATTCAATTAAACAAAATATTAATGTGAAAGGTCGAGATATCCGAACAAATTTAATGATTTGTAAAATAGTCATCGTAATTTTATCTAAAATGGTTGCAAACTGAAGAAACTAATCTAGAATACGTTTATTATAAAGCTATGTGACATTATTAACTGTTATTGCCGAAATTAATGCCCGTCAGAGCATTTAATTGTTATTATACAAAACTTTTAGGGACATATTAGAATTTCCTTCAATATGGGATTTTGTATCCAATATACAGAGTGTGCAAAAAAAATACAAGTATGGGATACTAAGAATATGAATCTAGTTAGTAACAGTTATTTTTTATTAGCATTTTTTAAATGGAAGATTCAAAACCAGATTGAGTTGCAAAATAAGAAACAGCTCCTGGATCTGCAGATTTACATAGCATAGCTTGTCCGTGTCTGCACACTGAGAACGTTATTCAAGACAGGTGCCATAGTGAACAGGTTAAGCAAAAAGAAATAGTAGTAATTGAAAAATGGGTGTGCTTAGAAAACTAAATATGTGATGAAAATAGTACATTGTGATATTAGGATTAAAAGTGTTACTTTTGTGGAAGCAAATGTTGTATTTGCGAGGCTAAGCTCAGCTTAGCTGAGCGGTTGAAAAATTGTGAGCCAAAAAAACACTTTTAATCCCAATAAAACATGCTATTTTTTCTCCAACCGAAATCTCCTATTTAATTATTAATTTGTGCTTTGAAATTATTCAAACCAAATTTGGATAATAAAGCAAAGTATGTAAGTAGGATATATCGATGTAGTCATTAGGGTGACCGGATCTCATAGAGGGGGAAAAAAATGTCGGAATCTTGTTCGTCTGGACCCCACAAAACGATTCCCCTTTTCAGATATTGAGATAGCCGAAATTTGAGCTCGATTAAACGACGTTAACCCGTGCTGTTCGTCGCTCAAAGTTTGAAAAAATCCAAATTGTTGGCCAAAAAGCTGACATATGGAGCCATAACTCCAGAATGGTAAATAATAGAAACACGCCTAATATCTCAAAAAAAAGCTAATGTTCTTCAAAATTTATATTCTATACATAATTGTTGTTAATTTAAGTCATACCGAATTACAACAGCCTTTACCCCCAAAAACGTGACCTGGTACCACTAGGAGCATACTTAGTATATTTTGTTATTAAATGATAAATTTTGCTTTTTTTGGTATATTTTTGAGTTTAAAGTAGAAATATAATAAAAAAAAACAAGTAATACTGATAAGTCTGATGACATTTTTTATTTTAAAATACAAAAATCAGGTATATAATACATAAGGCAATGTGTATCTATACTGATAGCACCCTAATTCCATATGTTGAAGATGAAACGAAATGTTTAGTTGATTTAAGAGAGATTTATGCAAAGGAAAAAGGAAACACGCAATTAACAGACGAATTGAACGATCATAAAATATGTCGTTTATGTATGCAAATAATACAGGGTGATTTTATGTTGGCACATGAAGTGGAAGCTGATATGCTTAAGAAATATATTCCAGAAATAGTAAGTACACGTTGATATACATACAAAAGCATGTCATATCTTTTGTGAAGTATCTGACGGAAATATTGCATAAAACTTCACTTTCAGATAACTTGTTAACAAAAAAGGATTTTTTGATTCAGTAAAAACTTTCAAAAGTGATTTTTCTACATTATTAAATTTTCAGCAAATTACGCTAATTACGCTTTATAAAGAAATTTTGAAAGTTCTATAGCCTTTGAGATATTGCTTGATAAAGGTATCGATAGTTAAGAAGGTTCGGATGCTATGAAAAATTGCAGCCAAGTTCGTATTATTAAGATATTATTTTTATTATTCTTGAATTATTTATCGATTTGTTTTTGTTTTTAATTAATTCCAAAAATTTGAATATTTAACAGATTCTTACGGGAAATGCTATGATGCATAGCCTTACAATCAAATTACGGGTGAAAAAAATGCAAATGAAGAGATGAAAAAAATATAGACATTTACCTGAATCTTTAATTAATTAAATTAAACATTAAAAATTCTGACTTGTATAAAATAAAAAATTGGTATATTTTTCTTTAACGGTGTAATTAATGATCTTTAAATATTTGAATAATAATGCTATTTTGATATTTTATAATTCTAATTATATCTAAGAGAACTCCCAATCTGTATTTTTTCGGTCAGAAGCTTGTGTATTCATGTTTAAGAGAACTATTTTCTAGAACTTCGATGTTGTCAAAGATCCCGTTGTTTGCAAACAGTGTTTTGATTTCTTGGGCGTCCACAGTGGTTTCATAAGAAAGTGTTTAGAAGTAGAGGAAAAACTAATAACACAGAAACCATCGACAATAAGTGTGAGGAACAGTCATTAGATTCCGGCATAAAAACTGAAGAGATTAGCATAAAGTCTGTAGAAAGTGACGAGGATGAAGATTTGGCTGAAAGTGTAGAAGGGAAATCTGAAGAAGAGATCGAAACTGGATGTGCCAAAACAAACTTGGGAGGTACAGAAGAAGAGAGGTACGTCATTCAAATTGTAGAGATAATAGTTACTTAACCGTTTCACTGCGGGAAGCAGATATCTATAAGCAAATTGAAAGCGTGCTCCTGGCACGGATGATGCGTGTTTATGTAAGCCAGGAGATGATTTGTATCAGCTCAACTTCAATGAGAATTAAGCAAAAGCTATAAAATCTGGTGTCAAGTAAATGTTTGGACGGAAAAGTTTGCTTATGATTTAATAATTCGTAACATTTCATCTGGTCTTTATAACAGTGTGAATTTTCTTTGGCATAGTGTCGACTAAGGACCTACGGATCTCCCAAGTTTCCTGGATTTTACTTTTGAGATCAGGAATTGTCTTTTGCGGTCTGGGCTGCTGGACGGCCGGTTTATGTCATTGTCATCAAACCAGTTTTATTGTTACGTTTGGTCGTATGACAGGATGTATTTGCCTTCTAGAAATTTTACTGTACATTTTAAGCTCTCCTTGTGATAGGCCTCTTCAGTGATCCATATTATCATCCACAACACAGGTTTGAAACTAGGATTCATCACTGAAAATTAACTTGAGCCAAGTAGCTTTGGATTTAGCCCAAGCTAAATGCTTCTTCTTTTGAAGTTCCGTTAACAACAGTTTTTCTTTAACGTTAATGAAATCAAAATCTTTATTTACCTTTCGACATTAATAATTATTGCCTCTTCGATACATTGTCCATTTCTTGGTTCACACCATAGTAATTTTCTCACAGTAGCCTTTGGCATGTACAGATGTTAACAAAAGGCGTTTGTGCCTTGTTTATCACTTTTGGCAATTGACCAAAATTCTTTCCATGAACGTCTATGCTATCAGTTTCTTGATTTTGCCATATTCACTTCGATAGCAATTTTTTTCATTGATTTACCTCGCTCGTATTGATGAATTATATTTCACACACATATTTTTTGGATGTTGCTAAACCACATGTCATAGTTTTGAGCACTATTCTTGCAAAAACGTCACAAACACTGACAGACGCATGAATTATAACAATGGACATTTTATATTTTCAATGCCTACTAGGTTTTTACGGCAAAAAGTGTTGCACTCAAACATTTAGTTGTCATTCAATTAAACAAAATATTAATGTGAAAGGTCGAGATATCCGAACAAATTTAATGATTTGTAAAATAGTCATCGTAATTTTATCTAAAATGGTTGCAAACTGAAGAAACTAATCTAGAATACGTTTATTATAAAGCTATGTGACATTATTAACTGTTATTGCCGAAATTAATGCCCGTCAGAGCATTTAATTGTTATTATACAAAACTTTTAGGGACATATTAGAATTTCCTTCAATATGGGATTTTGTATCCAATATACAGA